TGAAGTGAAACGTCTAAATGAGAATAGAAATGAAGAAGAAATGATTTTTTCAACAGTGTTAGGGACTGGAAAGCTAGTGAAATGGTACATAAAAACAAAACAACAAAATCATTAGAAGAAAGGGGAGTAAAGGACAAAGGGAAAGAACATGTTCCTGAAAATTATATATACCAACATAGATGGTATGTTGTATCAATATTTTAAATGAGGTCTTATTCCCAAGGGGCTACTCAGTTTGGAGACGTGACAGGAAAACTAGGAAGGGGGAAGGAGTGGCTGTGCTGGTGAAAGAACACCTGAAGGTAAGAGAGTTAATAATCGACAACCTTCAAGAGGTTGACAAAATTGAAGATTTGGAATCAGGATGATAAACTGATAACCGTAAACGCCTTCTTCCCACCAGGAAGCAACACATGGACGAAGGAAGAACTAGATGACAAACGAGAGGGCCTCATAATGGTCATGAGAGAGATTATAGTAAAAGCAGATAAAGATAAGTCACGATTGTTGATATTGGGGGACTTTAACTATAAAGCAATAGAGTGGAAGGCCTACGAGGCAAGAACAGAGGGACATTTGTGTAAGCAGATTTGTAAACCTCATTCTGGAGACATTCATGTATCAACATGTCAAGCAGGCTACAAGAGTGAGGGAAAGGGATGTTCCGTCAGTGTTGGATCCAATATTTACCAGGAAAGAAGAAGAGATATTTGATATCCAATACCTTCCTCCCCTTGGGAAGGAGTGATCTTGTCCTTTGAAAATTAAATATGCTTTGCGATATAATCTAGAAGATAATGGGGGACATTGAAACAGTTGATAAACTCGATTTCAAGAGAGGATACTATGGGGAAATTGTAAATTTCTTTAATGAGTCCAATTGGACAGACTTGTTGCTAGACAAGGAAGTAAATGAGATATATGCCAAATTTTGCGAAATATACGATGAAGGCGCACAAACATATATACCAAAATAGAGATGCAGGACCAGAAAACTGGATTGGTTCAACAGAAATTATGAGAGGATCAGAGAGGAAAAGACAAGAAAATGGATTCAATATAAGAATAAGCCTAACCTGAAAACATACCAGCACTACAAGCGAGAAACAATTACACAGCAGAGAGGAGAGAGGCAGAAAGAAACTTTGAGAAAGGTATAGCAGATCCAGGGGCCAGATTCACGAAAGCACTTACGAACCTGTACATCTTTTCTCAATCTTTGGCGGCTTTGTTTACAATTACTAAACAGTTAATGAGCTCGGAAGCACCAGGAGGCTGTTTATAACAATAACAACAGTTGATTGGCAAGTTTTCATGCTTGTAAACTGTTTACTAAATGTAACCAAAGCCGTCAAAGATTGAGGAAAGATGTACACGTTCGTAAGTGCTTACGTAAGTGCTTTCGTGAATCTGGCCCCAGGCCTTTTCTATAAATTCATTAAAAGCGTGCTGCATGTAAAGGATAAAATACAGAGACTGAGAACAGGGAACAAGACTAATGAGAATGAAAAAGAATGTGTGAAACACTAAATGAACAGTTCCAAAGTGTGTTTGTACAAAAATTTGGATGTCAGAGAGCTGGACCCAATACCAATTTTAGATCACACCATAGAATACATTGAGGTATCTCAAGACGAAGTGGAAAAATTACTCATGGGGGCTAGGAAGCAATAAAGCAGTTGGACCGGATGGAGTTTCACCTTGGGTGCTGCGAGAATGTGCAACTGAACTGAGCATTCCACTCCATTTAATATTCCAAACATTCTTGTGATATAGATATAGCCCCTATTATTACAACAATAATTATCATAATAATAATTGTTGTATTTAATAATTATCACTCTTCCTTCTACTTGGCCTTGAAGGAGGCCGGCCTCGGGTGAAAAGGGGCTATGACGATCCTTGTCAGGAACCCGTAGGTGCGGGACCGGGACGTCCACCTCCCGAGGGTCGTGCGGCCCAGGCTCTGCTTCAGGAGGCTCGGGTCGTTTATACCCTTGATGGGGTGGTTCTTCTCCGGCCCCGACCAAGGCGATCTTCGGGGTTGGAGGTCCCTGTGCCCTTCTTCACCACCTTCGAGGTCAACCCCGGAACTCACAGTTCCTGCGACGGCGCTGGAACCAATCGTATTGGCGTATGCCTTTCCATTGGAGACTTTCAGCGCCGTGGAGAGGGGGGGACCTGCTGCCTGGGTAACAGCTTCTCCCCCGCATCAGCCTACCCTGGCTTTGCGCCCTAGTGAGGCTACTCCAGACCGACAACCAGAGCGCAACTCCATAGTCTCCTGAGACTGATGGATGCCTACAAATACTACTTGTGCACAGGAATTTTAGCAGATATATGGAAAAAGGCAAAAATAGTACCAATCTATACAAACACTAATGGAGGGGAACCTCTAAATTATAGAATGGTGTCACTAACAAGCGAAGTAGTCAAAACACTAGAAACAATAGTTAAAGCCAAATGGTTTGAACACCTAGAGAGTAATGACATAATAACGGACTGACAGTATGGTTTTCGAACAGGAAGATCCTGTGTAACACATTAACTTAGTTTTTATGGTAGAGTCACAGAGATACTACAGGAAAGAGGTGGTTGGGTTGACGGTGTCTATCTGGACTATAAAAAGGCTTTTGAAAGAGTCCCACACAAGAGGCTGTTATGGAAACTGGAACACGCTGTAGGGGTGACAGGGGGACTTCTGACATGGATGAAAAACTTGCTAACTGATAGACAGATGAGGGTGGTAATCAGAGACAATGTATCTGACTGGAGGAGTGTTACTAGCAGAGTACCGCAGGGTTCAGTTCTTGTACCAGTAATGTTCATTGTCTACATAAACCATCTACCAGAAGGAATACAGAAAGATCAGCACGACTAGGCCGATTCCGAAGGCTTGACCGACTCCGAAGACGAAATCAAGGAAGCCGACCATGATGACTCGTCCGACTTCCATGCTTTAGTCGATGTCACCGGCTCTCCCGCCCCTTATGCGGCAGCCCGGACACCATCTCCCCTTCTAGATCCCGCACCGGAGCCAACTACACTGACAGACTCCCATGCTGCCTCCTCAGGGTATATCCGACGTGGCTGCGCACTATCCAAGGAGGATAGACAGCATAACTCCATAATCCACAACGACTACTGGGAATACATGTGCAGGGAAGCAGGACAAATCCTTCGCATGGTCGTCCCTCAAAAACACCTCGACCACCTTTGCGACTGCGAAGAAGGAAATTCGACTGGTCTGCTAACATCGAGGCACTGGGAAAAGGAAACCAATCATCTTGTAACACCCGGACATCTCTCCCTAGACCGGCCGATTGTGACCAGCCTGCTGACAGCCCTGTTGACTCCTGTGCCACTATACTGTGAGCAATGTGTGTACCCCATCAATTCACCGGCCTGACCAGCCTTATGGTCTTGGATTGCATTGGCACTTCCACGGACCCTATCCCCCAGATCTCCAGTATCAGCTATTGATTCTGATAATGGCTCCAGAGAACCTTCACTTCCGGCTCACCATAACTTGTGCTTCAAGGAAATTTTGTTCCAGTAGCTGAATCTAAGACAACAACAACAACGACAACTTTGCTCTCCATCTCCCACAATTACTGCCCCGCTCCGGTGCCAGGTAAGTCCAGTACGGGCTCACCATAGCCCGTGCTACTTGCCCCGCTCCTGTGCCAGGTAAGTCCAGTACGGGCTCACCATAGCCCGCCCCGCTCCTGCTAAGTCCAGTACGGGCTGCCCCGCTCCTGTGCCAGGTAAGTCCAGTACGGGCTCACCATAGCCCGTGCTACTTGCCCCGCTCCTGTGCCAGGTAAGTCCAGTACGGGCTCACCATAGCCCGTGCTACTTGCCCCGCTCCTGTGCCAGGTAAGTCCAGTACGGGCTCACAATAGCACGTACTACTTAGAACTCATTGTTCCGAGTAGCTGAATCTACAACAACAATAACCTCACTCCCATTACAGGCTATTTATGCCCGTACTACCTATTGGGTGGCTTAATCTTTCATAAAACACCAACCTCGCACCCATCACAATCTACTTGATAATGGTCCAGGAGCCAGATTCACGAAGCAGTTACGCAAGTACTTACGAACGTGTACATCTTTCCTCAATCTTTGACGGCTTTGGTTACATTTATTAAACAGTTTACAAGCATGAAAACTTACCAATCAACTGTTGTTATTGTTATAAACAGCCTCCTGGTGCTTCGGAGCTCATTAACTGTTTAATAATTGTAAATAAAGCCGCCAAAGATTGAAAAAAGATGTACAGGTTCGTAAGTGTTTGCGTAACTTTTTCGTGAATCTGGCCCCAGGACGGACCGAGCTTCGTCGCCTCTTCATCTTCTGATGTGTAGTTTGGTCATGTGGTGGCCTCTGTGTATGGGGCTGGTGCATGTATTGATGATGATGGTGCTGATGAATACACCGCTGGGGATGATATAATGTGCTATATTGTGTACTAATGAAATACTGAGTATAATTATGTAGTTCATTGGTGTATTCTGTTCACAACAACTCCATGATGCCTGACCAGGCTTTATCATGGTACTGGCTTGATATTACTCTCATGTAAAGTAGCATATAAATTATTATTTTATATGTTTAGATATGCTGAATGTTTAATTGCGGCTTTTATCTCTACCGCTGAGTGCAGCGGATTTGGAATAATTTCTTACTAACAGTTCAATTAGCAAGACAATAGTCAGAATGTCTACTCTCTTCAACCAATTTCAGCCTAGCGGCCAAATGTTATTACAGCAGTTCAAACTAGAAATTAGATGGGTGACTACATGAACATTGTGTTTGTGTTCCTGGTACGGGAGACCAGGTAAGGCCTACCGTACACAGGAGGATTCCTTCAGAACCTGTTTGTTGTTAAAGATTCGCTACCTGGAACAAAAAGTTCCAAGTAGCACGGGCTATGGTGAGCCCGTAGTGCCTTTTAGAACCTGTTTACTGGTAATGGTCGATTTTGCTCTCAACAGGTAATCGGCCACATCCAACCACCAACACTGTCTTCTTCAAGGATGGCGACCCGCGCCTCGCTCTCTCTGTCCCGGCTGACCATCGCATTCATGCTGCCCTCAACTGTGGCGCCCTGGTGAGTCCCCCCTCCTGCTGCCCTCAACTGTGGCGCCCTGGTGAGTCCCCCCTCATGCTGCCCTCAACTGTGGCGCCCTGGTGAGTCCCCCCTCCTGCTGCCCTCAACTGTGGTGCCCTGGTGAGTCCCCTCTCCTGCTGTCCTCAACTGTGGCGCCCTGGTGAGTCCCCCCTCATGCTGCCCTCAACTGTGGCGCCCTGGTGAGTCCCCCCTCATGCTGCCCTCAACTGTGGTGCCCTGGTGAGTCCCCTCTCATGCTGCCCTCAACTGTGGCGCCCTGGTGAGTCCCCCCTCATGCTGCCCTCAACTGTGGCGCCCTGGTGAGTCCCCCCTCATGCTGCCCTCAACTGTGGCGCCCTGGTGAGTCCCCCCTCATGCTGTCCTCAACTGTGGTGCCCTGGTGAGTCCCCTCTCATGCTGCCCTCAACTGTGGTGCCCTGGTGAGTCCCCTCTCATGCTGCCCTCAACTGTGGCGCCCTGGTGAGTCCCCCCTCATGCTGTCCTCAACTGTGGCGCCCTGGTGAGTCCCCCCTCATGCTGTCCTCAACTGTGGTGCCCTGGTGAGTCCCCTCTCATGCTGCCCTCAACTGTGGTGCCCTGGTGAGTCCCCTCTCATGCTGCCCTCAACTGTGGCGCCCTGGTGAGTCCCCCCTCATGCTGTCCTCAACTGTGGTGCCCTGGTGAGTCCCCTCTCATGCTGCCCTCAACTGTGGTGCCCTGGTGAGTCCCCTCTCATGCTGCCCTCAACTGTGGCGCCCTGGTGAGTCCCCCCTCATGCTGTCCTCAACTGTGGTGCCCTGGTGAGTCCCCTCTCATGCTGCCCTCAACTGTGGTGCCCTGGTGAGTCCCCTCTCATGCTGCCCTCAACTGTGGCGCCCTGGTGAGTCCCCCCTCATGCTGTCCTCAACTGTGGTGCCCTGGTGAGTCCCCTCTCATGCTGCCCTCAACTGTGGTGCCCTGGTGAGTCCCCTCTCATGCTGCCCTCAACTGTGGCGCCCTGGTGAGTCCCCTCTCATGCTGCCCTCAACTGTGGCGCCCTGGTGAGTCCCCTCTCATGCTGCCCTCAACTGTGGCGCCCTGGTGAGTCCCCTCTCCTGCTGCCCTCAACTGTGGCGCCCTGGTGAGTCCCCTCTCCTGCTGCCCTCAACTGTGGCGCCCTGGTGAGTCCCCTCTCCTGCTGCCCTCAACTGTGGCGCCCTGGTGAATCCCCCCTCATGCTGCCCTCAACTGTGGCGCCCTGGTGAGTCCCCCCTCCTGCTGCCCTCAACTGTGGCGCCCTGGTGAGTCCCCCCTCCTGCTGCCCTCAACTGTGGCGCCCTGGTGAGTCCCCTCTCCTGCTGCCCTCAACTGTGGCGCCCTGGTGAGTCCCCCCTCCTGCTGCCCTCAACTGTGGCGCCCTGGTGAGTCCCCCCTCCTGCTGCCCTCAACTGTGGCGCCCTGGTGAGTCCCCCCTCCTGCTGCCCTCAACTGTGGCGCCCTGGTGAGTCCCCCCTCCTGCTGCCCTCAACTGTGGCGCCCTGGTGAGTCCCCCCTCCTGCTGCCCTCAACTGTGGCGCCCTGGTGAGTCCCCCCTCCTGCTGCCCTCAACTGTGGCGCCCTGGTGAGTCCCCCCTCCTGCTGCCCTCAACTGTGGCGCCCTGGTGAGTCCCCCCTCCTGCTGCCCTCAACTGTGGCGCCCTGGTGAGTCCCCCCTCCTGCTGCCCTCAACTGTGGCGCCCTGGTGAGTCCCCCCTCCTGCTGCCCTCAACTGTGGCGCCCTGGTGAGTCCCCCCCTCCTGCTGCCCTCAACTGTGGCGCCCTGGTGAGTCCCCCCTCCTGCTGCCCTCAACTATGGCGCCCTGGTGAGTCCCCCCTCCTGCTGCCCTCAACTGTGGCGCCCTGGTGAATCTAATGCGACACTTGTCTTCTCTTTCCATGTATTTCACGAGTCTCTGATTGATTATTTTCCCGACTATTTCACCCGGTACTTCGAGAAGGGAAATTGGTCTGTAATTTTCAGTTTGGGTTAAGGATTTTCCTGGCATGGAGATTACTCATTTTGGTGGTATATGTTACAATGTCACAATATGACATTTGTGGATGTCATATTGTGACATGTTGTGTGACATTCTACACATATTGTAGAATGTCATATTGTGGATGGCTTCTCCTGTCTGGTTGTTCCACCCGTGTCCCAGTGTTCATGTGTTAGGCGCTCAGATCTCTCAGGAAGTAGGCAAGTGTGTTCCTTCTGGTGAGTTTCGTGAGGTCGGCCAGGGGAAGGGAAGGTCGTCTGGGTGGTTGATAACATGTTCCTCTGAAGATTGTACCTCTTTTGTAGTTTATAGTCCAATTGCCAAGAAGTTTTCTTGAAAGTTATCTTGAATTTTGTGTTGAACATTTCTCCTTACAGCAATCTCTGCTCCATCGCTGGCCTGGTCAGCTCTGTTGACCCGGTAAGTTTTGAAGTTGAATATCTATATATTCCCTATTTGTTGACCAGACCACACACTAGAAGTTGAAGGGACGACGACGTTTCGGTCCGTCCTGGACCATTCTCAAGTCGACTGTGAGAATGGTCCAGGACGGACCGAAACGTCGTCGTCCCTTCACCTTCTAGTGTGTGGTCTGGTCAACATACTTCAGCCACGTTATTGTGACTCATCGCCTGCATATTCCCTATTTCCTTTCTTCCATGGCTGTTCATGAGTATTGTATCCGGGCCTATGGCCAAATGAACCTGGCTTTGCTTTTTTTTCAAGGTGGGGCAAAGATCATGCTGGTCAATATTCTGGTTGAGAGGTCACCAGTCACCTGCCAGGATGTTCTGAGCGGCTTTATTCTTCCGTGATGTTTGTCATAGTTATACCTGCGTAGGTAATGTTGGCTGTCGTTTTCTTTCTTCTTGAAGCTGTTTCTCTCTTTTGTTTTAGGAGAGACTTCCTTGTTTTAGGAGACTCTTCCTTGTTTTGGGAAACTCTTCCTTGCTTTAGGAGACTCTTCCCTAGATGGACGCCAGTGTGCGCTGAGACCCCCCTCCACAGTTGAGTCACTTTAGGTTTGTTTTGTCCTTGTACTCCCTGAAGGTGCAGTGACCTTCTTGGACGCAGGTGTGACCTTGGTGGACGCAGGTGTGACCTTGGTGGACGCAGGTGTGACCTTGGTGGACGCAGGTGTGACCTTGGTGGACGCAGGTGTGACCTTGCTGGACGCAGGTGTGACCTTGCTGGACGCAGGTGTGACCTTGGTGGACGCAGGTGTGACCTTGGTGGACGCAGGTGTGACCTTGGTGGACGCAGGTGTGACCTTGCTGGACGCAGGTGTGACCTTGCTGGACGCAGGTGTGACCTTGCTGGACGCAGGTGTGACCTTGCTGGACGCAGGTGTGACCTTGCTGGACGCAGGTGTGACCTTGCTGGACGCAGGTGTGACCTTGGTGGACGCAGGTGTGACCTTGGTGGACGCAGGTGTGACCTTGCTGGAGGCATTCAGAACATTCTCGGACGTGCTTCTGATCGCAGGTTGAGGCTGTGTGGTCATATCTGTAGCAGGTCCAGCAGGGAGTTACGCAGGGGGTTACATTACTGTATTCCTCTAGTTCTACTGTATTTCCTCTAGTGGTGAAATTAATAGCGACGTGGCAATGATATTCCGTTTTCTATTGACAGAAATTTTCACTATAGGCTACATTATCTATGGATTAACCTGTGTATACAACCCAGCAGCAATATTATCTGCTTATTTTATTTAATATTAGGAAATGGTGTCGGGTTTTCCGACAGGCGGGAGGCGCACATCCTCTCAGCCCAAGGCCTGGGCAGCGCATCGACATGTTAAATTGACAGTATATTGTACATATACCGGGAATATAGTTACGTATACTTAGTTGTATTTCTGTCTTTCTCTCCGTGTCCTTGCCAATTCGGTGGCCTCGTTTGAAGAGCACTGGTGCATTTTGATGACGTGAAATACTTAATATATGTACTGATAAATTAATATATACTAATGCATACTGAGATACTCATATATATATATATATATATATATATATATATATATATATATATATATATATATATATATATATATATATATATATATATATATATATATATATATATATATATATATATATATATATATATATATATATATATATATATATATATATATATACATACACATCTAATTACAATACTACTACCCACCACCACCACCACCACCCCCAGCACCACCACTACCCCAAGCACCACCACTACCCCCAGCACCACCACTACCCCCAGCACCACCACTACCCCCAGCACCACCACCACCCCCAGCACCACCACTACCCACAGCACCACCACCCCCCCCAGCACCACCACCATCACCCCCAGCACCACCACCACCCCCCACCACCACCACCACCCCCCACCACCACCACCCCCAGCACCACCACCCCCCCAGCACCACCACCACCACCACTACCACCTGCACCACCACCACCACCCCCAGCACCACCACCCCCACCCCCAGCACCACCAGCACCACCACCCCCAGCACCACCACCACACCCCCAGCACCACCACCACCCAGCACCACCACCCCCAGCACCACCACCAGCACCCCACCAGCACCACCACCACCCCCAGCACCACCACCCCCAGCACCAGCACCACCACCACCACCAGCACCACCACTACCCCCAGCACCACCACCACCCCCAGCACCACCTCCTCCACCACCACCCCCTGCACCACCACCATCACCCCCAGCACCACCACCATCACCCCCAGCACCACCACCACCCCCAGCACCACCACCATCACCCCCAGCTCCACCACCACCACCAGCACCACCACCCCCCAGCACCACCACCACCACCCAGCACCACCACCACCCCCAGCACCACCACCACCCCCAGCACCACCACCACCACCACCACCACTACCCCCAGCACCACCACCACCACCACCACCCCCAGCACCACCACACCACCAGCACCACCACCCCCAGCACCACCACCCCCCCAGCACCACCACCACCAGCACCACCACCACCAGCACCACCACCCCAGCACCACCACCACCACAGCCCCACACCACCACCACACCACCACCCCCAGCACCACCACCACCCCCAGCACCACCACCCCCAGCACCACCACCACCACCACCACCACCCCCAGCACCACCACCCCCAGCACCACCACCCAGCACCACCACCACCCCCAGCACCACCACCACCAGCACCACCACCCCCACCACCCACCACCACCAGCACCCACCACCACCACCACCCCCAGCACCACCACTACCCCCAGCACCACCCCCAGCACCACCCCCAGCACCACCACCCCCACCACCACCACCACCACCACCACCACCCCCAGCACCACCACCCCCACCCACCACCACCACCACCACCACCCCACCACCCCCACCCCCACCACCACCCCCAGCACCACCACCACCCCCAGCACCACCACCCACACCACCACCACCCCCAGCACCACCACCCCCCCCACCACCCCACCACCACCACCCCCAGCACCACCACCCCCACCACCACCAGCACCACCACCACCACCACCACCCAGCACCACCACCCCCCCCAGCACCACCACCCCCAGCACCACCATCACCCCCAGCACCACCACCCCAGCACCACCACCCCCCAGCACCACCACCCCAGCACCACCACCCCCCACCACCCCCAGCACCAGCACCACCACCCCCAGCACCACCACCACCCCCAGCACCACCACCCCCCAGCACCACCACCACCCCCAGCACCCACCACCCCAGCACCAGCACCACCACCACCACCACCACCACCACCACCACCCCCAGCACCACCACCACCAGCACCACCACCACCACCACCCAGCACCACCACCACCCCCCCAGCACCACCACCCCCACCACCACCACCCCCACCACCACCACCCCCAGCACCACCACCCCAGCACCACCACCCCCAGCCCACCACCCCCAGCACCACCACCCCCAGCACCACCACCACCCCCAGCACCACCACCACCCCCCCAGCACCACCACCACCCCCAGCACCACCACCCCCCCAGCACCACCACCACCCCCAGCACCACCACCACCACCCCCCAGCACCACCACCACCAGCACCACCACCCCCCCAGCACCACCACCCCCCCAGCACCACCACCCCCAGCACCACCACCACCCCCAGCACCACCACCCCCAGCACCACCACCCCCCCAGCACCACCACCCCCCACCACCACCACCCACCACCCCCAGCACCACCACTACCCCCCCCCACCACCACTACCCCCAGCACCACCACCCCCCCAGCACCACCACCACCCCCACACCACCACCCCAGCACCACCACCACCCCCCAGCACCACACACCACCCCCAGCACCACCACCACCCCCAGCACCACCACTACCCCAGCACCACCACCACCCCCAGCACCACCACCCCCAGCACCACCACCCCCAGCACCACCACCCCCAGCACCACCACCCCCAGCACCACCACCCCCCAGCACCACCACCACCACCACCACCACCCCCCCAGCACCACCACCCCCAGCACCACCACCCCCAGCACCACCACCCCCCCCAGCACCACCACTACCCCCAGCACCACCACCACCCCCAGCACCACCACCCCCCCAGCACCACCACTACCCCCAGCACCACCACCCCCAGCACCACCACCCCCAGCACCACCACCCCCAGCACCACCACCACCAGCACCACCCCCCCCACCACCACCACCACCAGCACCACCACCCCCAGCACCACCACCCCCACCACCACCACCACCACCCCCAGCACCACCACCCACCCCCAGCACCACCACCATCACCCCCAGCACCACCACCACCACCACCACCACCCCCACCACCCCCCACCCCCAGCACCACCACCCCCCAACACCACCACCATCACCCCCACCACCACCACCACCCCCAGCACCACCACCACCACCCCCAGCACCACCACCACCCCCACCACCACCATTACCACCACCATCCCCACCCCCAGCACCACCACCCCCCCAACACCACCACCACCCCCAGCACCACCACCACCACCACCCCCAGCACCACCACCCCCACCACCCCCACCCCCAGCACCACCCCCCCAGCACCACCACCACCCCCAGCACCACCACCACCACCACCACCACCACCACCCCAGCACCACCACCACCCCCAGCACCACCACCACCCCCAGCACCACCACCACCCCCAGCCACCACCATCACCCCCAGCACCACCACCACCACCACCATTACCACCACCACCCCCACCCCCAGCACCACCACCACCCCCAGCACTACCACCACCCCCAGCACCCCCATCCCCAGAACCACCCCACCTGTGGGGATATTTTCCTAGCAGGCATTCAATTGTTTTTAATTTATTTAATTTTAAAATTCTTGATATATTGAATATACTATATATTATTATTACTTCAAAGAGATTGTATATTAAGTATACCTGCCAGGTGTTTGCCTATACACAAGTATGGCGGTTATATTAAATAGTTTATTAATCAAATATATTATAATTATAATAATTATCATTTAACTAGTCTTCCAACATCAGGCTTTAGTTTGCCACATGCGGTCCGTCCCGGACTTGATAATGGCGGCCCTGTTGCCTTTGTTAGAGCAAGTGGGCGTCTGTGCAAGTTCCTGTTGGCGTTAACAACTCTCTGTGATTATCTTTAGTTCGTCAAATGTTACGTGGCAAATATTTACACCGTGACTAATACAGATAACATCCCAATAATAGATACTGTATGACACAATTATTAATGCATTATTATGTTAGGCTTTCCCAATTTTTGGGTATTCTCAGGCAGCATAACCATATCAGTAAAATTACACAATGAAATAAAAGTGCTACAAGTCATATAGCATACTGTATGGATATAATGCTTGCCCTGGTTGTTGGATGAGGTCACTGTGGCAAATTCACTGTTGGGCGATCTATATTTGATCTTTGTAGTGTTGCGTCGTGCGGATCTCTCTCTCTCTCTCTCTGGGAGCCATGTTTACATTCAGCCGGCTTGTCTGCCTCCCTGGGAGCGGCGTCTCCCAAAAATAGGGTTTTATTTCTCTGTTTTATAAGAACATAACAACAAAGGCAACTGCAGAAGGCCTACTGGCCCATACGAGGCAGCTCCTATTTATAACCACCCAATCCCACTCATATACATGTCCAACCCATGCTTGAAACAATCGAGGGACCCCACCTCCACAATGTTACGCGGCAATTGGTTCCACAAATCAAATTGACTTAGGGACGTAGACTTTAGTTTTATTAATAATTATATTAGATCCAGTCATAGAGAATACTTTTTTATTAATTCTAATCACTAGACTGGTGGTTTAAGGATATATGATGCTTGAATATATGCTGATGATGTCACGGATCTCCCGTTCTCTATAATCCTTTTATGAGTAAAGATTATGTAACTAGTATAACAGGGTTTGCTGGTTATATTGGATATGTTAATGTCGGAATTTCCGACACCACCACTACCACCCCCAGCCTGACGTGATCTCTATACCGCAGGGATGCTCACCGCTAGCCTCATACAGCCCTGGGGACCAGGAGCTGGAGCAGGACCTGGATGACGCCATGCAGCGCCTCTGTAACACCTCCGTCACCCGCGTCAACCACAACTCCATCGTCATCAACTCTATATTTCAGTGGTTCAGTTCCGACTTTGCTGACACAGAGAAGCTCACTCTTAGGTGCGTACCATAATTTACTATATACAGTTAACCTTTGGTATATATATATATATATATATATATATATATATATATATATATATATATATATATATATATATATATATATATATATATATATATATATATATATATATATATATAAATATATAAATATATATATATATATATATATATATATATATATATATATATATATATATATATATATATATATATATATATATATATATATATATATATGTCGTACCTAGTAGCCAGAACTCACTTCTCAGCCTACTATTCAAGGCCCGATTTGCCTAATAAGCCAAGTTTTCCTGAATTAATATATTTACTATAATTTTTTTCTTATGAAATGATAAACCAACCCTTTTCTCTATGTATGAGGTCAATTTTTTTTATTGGAGTTAAAATTAACGTAGATATATGACCGAACCTAACCAACCCTACCTAACCTAACCTAACCTATCTTAATATGTTAGGTTAGGTTAGGTAGCCGAAAAAGTTAGGTTAGGTTAGGTTAGGTAGGTTAGGTAGTCGAAAAACAATTAATTCATGAAAACTTGGCTTATTAGGCAAATAGGGCCTTGCAAAGTAGGCTGAGAAGTGCGTTCTGGCTACTAGGTACGACATATATATATATATATATATTAGTATAAATCTATCTTGTAAATATGACCTTTCTTGTTGAATATGACCGAAAAGGTAAGATTAATAATTCTAGCACGAATTTTCTCAATATTTCTTATGTTTTTCTTCACTGTCGGTGGTAATAAAAAATACCATTTCTCCTAAATTCATTTTTTAATTGTCTGACGTCTGAACGCGTTTCGTAATTCGTATTACAGTTTCAAAGACTTAATTTATACACAAATTCTTCGTATTTATACTCTACTGGATGAGGTGATATGGTACAAAAGTTTTGGTTGAAATGACAAACACAAGACAGAACACGAAACAATGGGTATAAATTGGATAAGTGAACATATGAATGGAAGTAACTGCAGAAGGCCTATTGGCTCATTCTTCCTCTTGCTGTTTCCATATTGGTTCGAGGTCTTGAAGTAGGTAGAATATAATTGTGCATTAATTGGCTGTTGATTGCTGGTGTTGACTTTTTGATGTGTAGTGCCTCGCTGATGTCAAGCCGCCTGCTATCGCTGTACCTATCGATGATTTCTGTGTTGTTTGTTAAGATTTCTCTGGTGATGGTCTGGTTGTGTGAAGAGATTATATGTTCATTGATGGCTCCCTGTTGCTTATGCATTTGTTAGTCACCTGGAAAGAGACGTTGTTGTCTTGCCTATATACTGAGTTCTTTGGGGCTTACAGTCCCCAAGTGGGCATTTAAAGGCATAGACGACGTTGGTTCTCCTTCAAAGCGTTCTGCTTGGTGTCTGGGGAGTTTTTCATGAGTAGATTGGCCGTTTTTTTGGTTTTATAATAAATTATCAATATTATTTTCTGAATTGTGTCTGTAGGGATAACGTTCCTATCAACAATATCTTTCAGGAACCTTTCCTCCGTTTTATGAGCCGTCGAAAAGAAGTTCCTGTAAAATAGTCTACTTGGAGGTACAATTCTTGTATTGGTTGACTCTTCAGAGGGGTCAACCTCAGAGGGGTCCTTTGACGAGTCAGCTAACACAACACTTGTACCCCCAATTAGACTATTTTACAGGAACTTCTTTTCGACGGCTCATAAAACGGAGGAAAGGGTGCTGAAAGATATTGAAAGTATTGATATTGAAAGATATTGATAATGAAAGATATGACCACAACACAACCATCCCACCTGTTGACCACAACACCACCCCCTCTCCTGTTGACCACAACACAACCCCCCCCCTCCTGTTAACCACAACCCACTCACCCCCTCCTGTTGACCACAACACAACCACCCCTCCTGTTGACCACAACACAACCACCCCCCTCCTGTTAACCACAACCCACTCACCCCCTCCTGTTGACCACAACACCACCCCCTCCTGTTGACCACAACACAACCACCCCTCCTGTTGACCACAACACAACCCCACCTCCTGTTGACCACAACACAACCCCCCCCTCCTGTTGGCCACAACACAACCACCCCCTCCTGTTGACTACAACACAACCACCCCTCCTGTTGGCCACAACACAACCACCCCCTCCTGTTGACTACAACATAACCACACCCTCCCGTTAACCACAACACAACCACACCCTCCTGTTGACCACAACACAACCACCCCTCCTGTTGACCACAACACAACCACCCCTCCTGTTGACCACAACACAACCACCCCACCTGTTGACTACAACACAACCACCCCTCCTGTTGACCACAACACAACCACCCCCTCCTGTTGACTACAACATAACCACACCCTCCCGTTAACCACAACACAACCACACCCTCCCGTTAACCACAACACAACCACACCCTCCTGTTGACCACAACACAACCACCCCTCCTGTTGACCACAACACAACCACCCCTCCTGTTGACCACAACACAACCACACCCTCCTGTTAACCACAACCCACTCACCCCCTCCTGTTGACCACAACACAACCATCCCTCCTGTTGACCACAACACAACCATCCCTCCTGTTGACCACAACACAACCACCCCTCCTGTTGACCACAACACAACCACCCCTCCTGTTGACCACAACACAACCACCCCACCTGTTGACCACAACACAACCCCCCCCTCCTGTTAACCACAACCCACTCACCCCCTCCTGTTGACCACAACACAACCACCCTTCCTGTTGACCACAACACAACCACTCCCTCCTGTTGACCACAACCCCCCCTCCTGTTAACCACAACCCACTCACCCCCTCCTGTTGACCACAACACAACCACCCTTCCTGTTGACCACAACACAACCACCCCTACTGTTGACCACAACACAACCACACCCTCCTGTTGACCACAACACCACCCCCTCCTGTTGACCACAACACAACCACACCCTCCTGTTGACCACAACACAACCACCCCTCCTGTTGACCACAACATAACCACCCCTCCTGTTGACCACAACACAACCACCCCTCCTGTTGACCACAACACAACCACCCCTCCTGTTGACCACAACATAACCACCCCTCCTGTTGACCACAACACAACCACCCCCTACTGTTGACCACAACACAACCACACCCTCCTGTTGGCCACAACATAACCACACCCTCCTGTTGACCACAACACAACCACACCCTCCTGTTGACCACAACACAACCACCTCCTGTTGACCACAACATAACCACACCCTCCTGTTGACCACAACACAACCACCCCCTCCTGTTGACCACAACATAACCACCCCTCCTGTTGACCACAACACAACCACCCCCTCCTGTTGACCACAACACAACCACCCCCTCCTGTTGACCACAACACAACCACACCCTCCTGTTGACCACAACACAACCACCTCCTCCTGTTGACCACAACACAACCCCCCCCTCCTGTTGACCACAACACAACCACCCCTCCTGTTGACCACAACACAACCACCCCTACTGTTGACCACAACACAACCACCCCACCTGTTGACCACAACACAACCACCCCACCTGTTGACCACAACACAACCACCCCTCCTGTTGACCACAACACAACCACCCCACCTGTTGACCACAACACAACCACCCCTACTGTTGACCACAACACAACCACCCCTCCTGTTGACCACAACATAACCACACCCTCCTGTTGACCACAACACAACCACCCCACCTGTTGACCACAACACAACCACCCCACCTGTTGACCACAACACAACCACCCCTCCTGTTGACCACAACACAACCACCCCACCTGTTGACCACAACACAACCACCCCTACTGTTGACCACAACACAACCACCCCTACTGTTGACCACAACACAACCACCCCTCCTGTTGACCACAACACAACCACCCCTCCTGTTGACCACAACATAACCACACCCTCCTGTTGACCACAACACAACCACCCCTCCTGTTGACCACAACACAACCACCCCTACTGTTGACCACAACACAACCACCCCACCTGTTGACCACAACACAACCACCCCACCTGTTGACCACAACACAACCACCCCTCCTGTTGACCACAACACAACCACCCCACCTGTTGACCACAACACAACCACCCCCTCCTGTTGACCACAACACAACCACCCCACCTGTTGACCACAACATAACCACACCCTCCTGTTGACCACAACACAACCACCCCACCTGTTGACCACAACACAACCACCCCACCTGTTGACCACAACATAACCACACCCTCCTGTTGACTACAACACAACCACCCCTCCTGTTGACCACAACACAACCACCCCACCTGTTGACCACAACACAACCACCCCACCTGTTAACCACAACACAACCACCCCCTCCTGTTGACCACAACACAACCACACCCTCCTGTTGACCACAACACAACCACCCCTACTGTTGACCACAACACAACCACCCCTACTGTTGACCACAACACAACCACCCCTACTGTTGACCACAACACAACCACCCCTACTGTTGACCACAACACAACCACCCCTACTGTTGACCACAACACAACCACCCCAACACCTGTTGACCACAACACCCACCCCTCCTGTTGACCACAACACAACCACCCCTCCTGTTGACACCAACACACCCCCCCCTCCTGTTGACCACAACACAACCACCCCTCCTGTTGACCACAACACAACCACCCCTCCTGTTGACCACAACACAACCACCCCTCCTGTTGACCACAACACAACCACCCCTCCTGTTGACCACAACACAACCACCCCTCCTGTTGACCACAACACAACCACCCCTCCTGTTGACCACAACACAACCACCCCTCCTGTTGACCACAACACAACCACCCCTCCTGTTGACCACAACACAACCACACCCTCCTGTTGACCACAACACAACCACCCCTCCTGTTGACCACAACACAACCACCCCTCCTGTTGACCACAACACAACCACCCCTCCTGTTGACCACAACA